GCCCGATGCGGGACTCGATCCCGGGACTCCAGGATCATGACCTGAGCCGAAGGCAGTCGCTCAACCAACTGAGCCACCCAGGCGCCCCTAAAATTTTTTTTTAAGTTTAAATTCAATTAGCCAACATACAGTACATCATTAGTTTCAGATGTAGTGTTCAGTGATTCATCAGTTGCGGATGACACCGAGTGCTCATCACAGCACATGCAGGAGGCACCAATTTAACCAAGCAACCAAACTCAGTGTGGTTCATAGGGAAGCCGGTTAGCACATGCCACCCTCTGTGATGCAACGTGACTATGTAGCAGTACCCATATGAAGGGTCCTTTGCAAAGCTGCATCTGATCATGCCTCTAGACCTAACTTACCGTTCAATACAGAAAATTGGGGCAATAGAGGGACAGGTGAAATGATATGAGGAAATACTCAGAGACAAAACCAGATTGTGGCATATTCTTTAGGACAGCTGACCTAACATCTTTCGGGGACAAAACTGTAACATAAGGGTATAAGGAAAACACAAAATTCCAGAGAGTGGAGGAGTCAGGGCGATGGGCCCAGGGTGGGCCACACAGGGTGTGGTAGTGCTGGTAATGGTGAGGTCCTGAGTCAGGTGGTGGACACACAGGGATCTGTCTTAGTACCAGGCTTCGTAATTCACACATATCTATCTTCTTCTGTATCTATCAAGTATTCACAATAAAATTGATCAAAGAATATTTGGCTATTAAAAACTGTCCCTTGACTTCAGAACATCAGCATTCGAGTATCTGTTCTGCTAACAACTAATCCTGACCCTGAGAAAATGACTAAAGCCAGTCTTCCTTAGTTAAACAATGGTGTTGGAACACATGTTCTTTATGCTTCTGTTAAAGTTCTAAAATTCTTTGGTTTTATTAGAAATTTATCCCCCCCTCCCCAAGGTATACCCTCACTTCTGGGAGGATGGGTATAGTATTAGCCAGGTATTAGAACAAAAGCTTAAAAACAAATTACACTCAATACAACCTGAAAGGAAATTTTAGAAATTTCTCATTTTCCCAAATAAGAATTTGACAAGAAATGCCCTTCTTTTGTGTGTGTGTAGAGAAGTTTAACCCACAGTAAACAGGCCCTGGAATAAATCTCCTAATGGAATCTAAGGAAGTCCCTCACACAGCAAAGACTTCTCTCCTACTGGTTCAGGGCATCAGTGTGTCAACAGAAGCAAAATGAGCTCAGTATTTACTATCAGTTGAATTCTCCCAACCCATCAAGACTCCCCTTGGAGATCTATGAAAGTACTAATGACCTGTTCCCAAAACTAACCAACCAAGTTCAAGGATCCCAACTTTGAACTGACATCGAAAGCAGCTTTCTATTATCCTAATGGCAACAGAAATGAACGACCATCAAAACTGGACGCTATGGCAGGTTTGTGACCAGCCCCTGTGAGAGGAGTCAAACTCACTGCGAAGGTAAGAGACGTTACTTAGGTGTAGCTCATTACGCTTCGACAGAGCCCAAGCCTGAGTCATGAAACCTTCCAGACCCTGAGATTAACATATAGCAGATGTCGATCTCATTCTTTTCTAAGGAAAGTGGTCCTTCTCAATTTAACATTCATACTTTGAGGAATAAGATATACAGATCTCTTTGATGTGGAAAGAAAAATTAAAGGCAGCAGGAGATGAAGCCCTTGTCTTTGTTTAGATTCCTCCTTTCCTTCCCAACCACCAAATACAAACATGCCCAGGGCTCAGATGGCTTCCCTCCTCCCTTTGAGATCTGTCCAGTGCAGGATTTGAAGACCTTCTCCATGCGGCCCACTCCTGAATTTCTATGTCCTGCTTACCTCCTGAACGCTGGTCCCCCATACCCACTCAGCCTCCTGTACTCTCATTTGAATGTACAGTTGGCTTGTCCAATTTCCCCTCTCTAAAACTGAACTCCTGTTTTCTCCATCACAATAAATGCTGGGGTCCCAAACCCTAGGTATTTGTCAGCCCTTCCCACCTCACATACAGTCTGTTGGCAAACGTTGACAGTTCTACCAGGAAAATGTATCCAGAATCGGACCACTTCCCACCAGCACTGTCTGAACCACTGAAACCTCTTGCCTATATAATAGCAATTGCCTCCTAACTGGTTTCTCGGTTTCCACTCTTGCCTCTTTACAGTCTGTTTTCTACATAGTAGTGAGAGTGAGCTTTCCAAAGCACAAGTTAAATCAAAATCCTCCCGAGATCACCCATGTCACTTGGAGGAGTCTAAAATCCCTCCCAAGGCCTACCAAGGCCTCTCTCCCATCACGGTCCTCCTAGCTCACCTCCTATCTCACCTCCTGCTCCAGCCACCTTGACCTCCTGGCAGTTCCCCAAACCCGCCCAGCAGGGCTTTGCAATTGCTTTCTGCCTGGGACTTGGCCCCTGCCCTTCCCCCCTCGGGCATCCCCAGGGCTGACTCCCTCGCTTCCTCCAGGTCTCCGCTTGAAATGTCACCAGAGACCTTTCCTGACCATCCTATCTAAGATGCCACTACCACGGTTCCTCTCTCTAATGCATGTTTCTTGTAGTATTTACCCTGTGACACATTAAACAGGTATTGTCTTATGCATACCCCATTGACAAAAACTTTTGAGTCTTCTCTGAATATATGAATATCTATAAAGGATACACGCTAGCACATAATATATTATGAATTTAACAGAAAACATACACAAAAATAAAAATTGTAAAAGGAAGAGATTTTAAATAAAACCGAAAGCAGCTTCGGTGTGTTTTCCTTGCACCTCAGTGGCTGTGTTTCACCGCCCCAAGCTGTGCACTCCCCTTCGGAGACTACCAGACTCAGGACCGGCACCTGCACTTTCTGTCCTGATTTCCCCCATCTGAGATATTCCCACTTCCTTCAAAATACTCTTGCAGTTTCCTGTGATTTGTGAAACCAACATCCTAGGGGCTCTAGACAGCATTGTGTGAAAATGTTCAAGGAAGGAAAGTACCACGTGTGTTAGCCTCCATCTCTCCTGAGATATCAGGAACACATGCTTTGAATTACCTCCTTTGGATTACCATGAAGGTAAAAGCTGTGACTCAGCTCAGAATGAATCAGGATCCTCTGTGATAAGGAAATCCCAACATTAAACATGCATTTTTTTTCCTCCCAGGCACTTCCCCCAAGAAATCGTTATTGTTTGTAAGAGAGCTGAATCATAGGAACACATGTACAAAAGAATCAGAATTTTGTGGGCCTTATAACAACAACAAAAAAAAAACCTTTTTAGTCAATAGCTACTTAATAGGACAACAGATCAGAGTATCTTAAGTCTTTCCAGTAGGACACTCACAAAAAGCTTCATTAAAATTGTATTTGAGGGGCATCTGGGTGGCTCAGTAGGTTGAGTGTCTGCCGTTGGCTCGGGTCATGATCTCAGGGTCCTGGGATTGAGCCCTGCATCGGGCTCTCTGCTTGACGGGGAGTCTGCTTCTCCCTCTCTGTCTCCCTTTGTGTGCTTGCTCTCAGCCTCTCAAATAAATAGATCTTTTAAAAAAAAATTGTACTTGAAACAAAATACTTACGTGCCCCAATGTACTTTAATGGAACAAGTCTTCTGCATTATACCAAACCCCTGCATCTCTTCAGTGTCATCAAAGTAAGAATTTAGGAGTCCTAACCCTTCCGGTTCAGTAAATAAGTCAATCTGACTAACTCTGTAATCCTGAAGAGAGAGAAAAAAAAAAGTACACATATTTAATCATTACACCATGTACTTAACTTTACAATAAGCTCATTATCCTTTTTTTTTCAAATAATTAAAATAAATTTTAAATACACATACATTTCACAGAGCACTTGCCATCTATCCCTTCCCCGTTTTCAGCCATGACTTAGTAATATGTGGTCTTGTGGGGCAGCCATGTTGCTTTAGCCGTCTAGCTCAGTGTTACATTCAAACAAAAATCCCCAGAAATTTATTTCATTAGAGTTCTGGAACATATTTATTTCTCTCATCCTCACTGAAGTAACTGCTTGGTTTTCCTTGGTGATTGGAGTTTTAGTTGCTTTACTCGGACATGACCATCCAAGCCCAGAGGTTCTCTAGTCCATAGAGGGGCTGCATTTGGGGCCTTCCTCAACCGCTGTTTTATGCCTATAAACTCCCTGTGGTAACTCTCTTTGACTATGGACCAAACCGCTATGATGTTGGTTTGGTCTAAGCTGTGAAAGCAATGGTACACATTTACCGTGATTTACAAATCTCTATACTATGGTCAGTGTACCATGCCCTGCACATCCTGCCCATCAAACACTTCAAAGGTCTCTGCTGGTTGAGTGCCTAAGTGCTATTCGAACACTTACTGAACTTTAATCTTGCTGAGCTAGGTGAACTGAGATACAGAAGAAATGACACTTGGGTAGGTTCAGGGGAGGCTCTCTTAACCATTACCAAAAAGAACAAATTTAATAACTAAAAAGGTGACCTTTTCAATATGTTGTGATTTATATTCATGTTTCAAGTAACATAAACATAATCTGTAAAAAAAAAAATCATAATATATCAGGAACCATGAATGTATCCCTATCCTTTAACATGACACCATTCAGAAAAATTCATCCCAATAAATCAGCAGTTTATAAACAATTAAATGCACAAAAATGTTCATACGGCATTATTTAAAATAGTAACAAATCTAGAAACAACCTTAAATTCCACGGAAAGAAGGTAAAATAAATGATGGTACATCATTTCTTGGAAACCCCAAACCTTGTAGTAACATGAAGAGCATGAATTGCATTAAGTTGGCTATTATCAGGCAAAACAGGAGGCCCCTCTTTACAAAATGCTGCACTTCCCTTACTCTACCCTCCCTGAGTGCCTCTAAATCCCCACCCATCAGAATCTGATACAGTTACACATCAGTGAGAGATGTTGACCAAAGGGCATATAATCTTCAGGGAAACGGGTATGGAGAGAGAAAAAGGATTGAGAACTACAGTTTTGTTTTAGTTTTTTTTGGTTTGTTTGTTTGTTTGGTCTTGTTTTGTTTTTTCCTTAAATGGTGGAGCCCAATGTGGGGCTTGAACTCACAACCCTGAGATTATCATGATTACAACTACAGAAAAAGCAGACTGGAATATGGCCAAGACAGAGCAGAGAAGTCAGAAAAAATAAGAGAGGATATCTCATGATGGTGGATTGGGATGATATGTTTAAACACTGCTTTATTACCAATATTAGTTGAGCCATAAATAGAAAGTACAGGTGAATTATCCCATTGACTATGACATTTTTAAACAGGGATCCTCATGTCTTCTGTAAGATTTATCACATTATGTACTTAAAACTATTAAAAGATAAATCATTTAGAATACCAATGATCACTGAAGTCACTCAGAAATGTTGACTTAAGAATCAAGTGGCATTTTCCTCTGCCAAAAACTGTTACTCATTCCTACTCATTCTCATTTTACAAACATTCCTTATCTTCCTATTCATCCAAACGCCCATCTCTGTTACACAAATGGGGTTTTAATCTTCCACTTGGAAGATACCATTACCTAGATTTTTAAAGGTAAAGAATCATCAATTCTCAACAGCCACACAGAAAGACAACTTCCTCATCAACAAATAAGGAACCAAGACATTTTAGCCAGTCCCTAAAGTGACCTCAACTACCTACTGTTCTTAAACCCACATGAAACTCCAGAATTGAACTTTCAACTGGATTATTTTGGGATTATTTATTTTTCCAAAATAGAATTCCTATAAGCCACTCAAGGTAATCAGAACTTACACAGCAACCAAAAAACAAAGCAAAAGAAAAATCTGTTCATATAGAATTCATCCAAATCAGGTTATTAAGTAAAATACATTTTGGAGATGGGGATGGGGGACAGGAGTGAGAAATTAACCTTCAAGATTTATTATGAAAAAAATGACTAATCAATTAGAATGTTTCTTTTCTAATTCAAATGTACAAACACTGAAGTTATAGAAAATATATTCATAGAGCACCAATCAAGTATTTTTCCCAATCACTTATTTCATAAAATGAACTTTTCTCTCAAAGAAAGAATCATCCCTGGCATTCAATAAATACTTGCTGAATGAATCAATGGATTCTGGTTTTCCCATAACCTACCTGGACCACATGTCTGATTGAACCAATCACCACAGGCTTAGCAGACTCTGCCTCCTCGTTTCTTTCCAAAACATCTTCTATACCCCAGAGACCAGAGAGTTCCAATTCTCCTTCTTCTAAGGGGATGGAGTGCCCTTCAAAATTTGGTTTCTCATACAAAATCCAACTAAGAGTAAAACACAGCGAAACTATTAGCTGGTGTTGGTGAGAGAAGTTTTGATGACTCAAATATTCTAGCCAATAGCCTCCCCCCACCCCGTCCCCTTCTTCCCTCTCCTTCTCTTCTCTCTCTTTCTCTCTCACATATTGTGGCCAATTATCATATAAATACTGGCCAATTCTCTAGTAATTAAAATGTATAAGCTCTAAAACTAAATTTACTGGGCATAATTAAGCCTCTGAAAATCCAAAAACTGTATCAGGATCTTAAAGAACTTTTGGTATCAGTATGAACATCGTAGAGTTACTAATGTTCTATAGAACGGTCAGTTAGCAACCAGTTAAAATGGTAATACATCAGATAAATGGACTTTTCCTAGAATTCTTTTTTCTCCTTATATATGTAGAAAACAATTCTAGAGGGATTTTACTTATATTCTAGAACTATATCAATGGATATATTGATACAAAGTACTATATGCATGGTAATGGAGAGCATTTTAAAAAATATCCTTCCCAACAACAAACATCCAAACACTAAAGAAAATCTCATATCAATATACGACAGTGCTGCTCTTAGATGCTTATGCTTTTAAGAGATAAGCCAACAGAAATTGAAAAGAAAAAAAAAAAGAGCACTGGGCGACTGGGTGGCTCAGTTGGTTAAGCATCTGCCTTTGGCTCAGGTCATGATCTCAGGGTCCTGGGATTGAGCGCTGCATCAGGCTCCCTGCTGAGCGGGGAGTCTGCTTCTCCCTCTCCCTCTCTTTCTCTAATAAATAAATAAAATCTTAAAAAAAATAAAGAGCACTATTATATTAAAAACAAAATTTATATAACATTTGTTTTTAGTGTTATTTTCGGTCTTCAAATTTAAGAACAAAAGCTAATTATATTTTTGTGATGAATGTGTTGAATACATAGAAAAACGTTAAAATATCTAAAACCTAACAGAAAAGATGCTGCATATGTAATCAAATGAAAAAAAAAAGCAAAGCTTACTAGTTTTTTAAACCACAAATGTCTAAAGCCGTCTTCTTTATCTCAAACAAGATAGGTATCAAGATAAGTCCTTTTGCCAGATAAGTGATTTATTAAAAATGGCTTTTCTTAATTCAACTTCCTATGTATTTCCTAGAAGCTGTCAAGCTGGTAAATAATTTTTTCACCACTTTCTTTAATCAAAACCATCAGTTGCTGAAAAGTTGGAAAATAAATTTTAGGTTAGTCATTCACACTGTCTTTTCTTATAGAACATTTAAAATTCTACCAACATGACTAGCATAATTCTTCCCAACCTCACTGAAAATTCATAAAGACGTGTTAGTGAGGACTCCCATGTTCAGTAGTCCCAGCCAGTGTGATGTGGGGGGATATGGGAAAAAGGAAGTTGTATTGCTGCACTTGCCGGACTTTTCTAGCATAAACAGGCATCACCTCTATAAAGCAGAAACAGGGTTAAAAAACGTAATTTCTTAGATATGAATTTCCTGTAATACTCCTAAGACTAGTATTTTCTGCCCTTTACATTACTAAAGGCATAATTTGAAATAAGTACTGAAGACCAAAAAGGTAACTAAAAACATAAAACACAAACCCTCTAAAAATCAGGAACAGAAAGCACCATTCTTACCATCCTCTGACGACCTTGACGATTACCACCGGAGAGAGGCTCCAAGAGCTGCAATCCTCAATGTCACTGAAAACTTCAATGCACGCATCAGAGACATCCGGGTCCCTGTAGATCACTACCTACAAGAAAATGAAAGTGGCAGCAGATGGTTGAATGGTATCAGACCAAAATAAAATCTAGACTAGAAAACAGAGCATCATCTTACCTTTCCAGGTCGGGGATTGATTTTATTTGTAAGACTTCCTCTAAATGTCTGTAATCAGATGAACAAAAACACAACAAATTAAACTTTGTGTAACATTCCGCAGAGTTTCTCTGCCCATGATCAGTTAAGATCATATTTATTTGTCTCATAATTCATCAATTTTGAAACAATCCACCGTCATCTGTGCCAAAGCTATATTAAAGCTCTCTTTGAGTCTGCATTATTAAATTGAGAGGTTTCTCTCCTCTAAATGTGCCATTTCAATTTCTCATTTATTTGTTTGTTTGTTTGTTTTTAGAGAGGCAGGGAGGGAGGGAGGAGTAGAGAGAGAGGGAGAGAGAGGGAGGGAGCAGGGGGAGGGGAAGAAGGAGAGGAAGAATCTTAACCAGGTTCCACACCCAACTAGAAGCCTGGTGCATGGCTTGATCCCACAACTCTGAGATCATGATCTGAGCCCAAATCAAGAGTCAGACATTTAACCAACTGAGCCACCCAGGCACCCCTCAATTTCTCCTCATTTTCCACCAATCTGGAAAAATCAGGGCTGAAGAGTCAGACCTATGTTTTATATCAGTTCACAGAATAAGAATTCAGCTAAGAAATTATAATTCAAATAATCTCTGTATAACATCAAACAAAGAGAAATTATAAAGTATTAATCATGTATCTAGAAGGAGCTACATCAATTTTATGTGTTCATACACACACCTTACCTGAATCTATAAATATTGTCTTTTCATTGTAACATCTTACCATCATATAACAAGTATTAGTCTAAATAAAAGGGTGCTTATGGTATACATCACAATGTATATTGCACATAGTATACTTAATCCTCCCGTTTTGAAGGACAAAATATGTTTTTGTATGGCTCCAAAACTAATCATTTTCAAGAACATCTGACAAGACCATCAAAACTAAAAATGCATAAGGTAATAAAAATAGTAATTACACATGAAAAAATATTATAAAATATAGACTACTTTCAATGCTGACCAGGATGCTTATTCTAAGGACTGCCTTTGATCTGATGCACTCTTGCATCATAGTAGAGTATACCAAAGACCACAGGAAGGCCTCAGTAGAACACTATTAAAAATAAAAATACCATCTACTTATTTATATATATACACATTAGAAGTGGATAAGCTGAAGAAAAGGCCTGAAATTTAAAACAAAATTCAGGTAAGACAATAAAGATAGAATAGTCATAGAGTAAACAAAACCCAAGACCTAAGGAAAAAAAAATTTTTTTTTAACCATAAAAAGACTTAGAGAAAATATAAAACACTTTGTTTCCCCTTTTTACTCTACTTGGCTTGATTTTTCAAGGGATTCCACAGGGAAACTGTATATTCTGTTGTCAGACTCATCAGACTGCTCTCAAATAAGAGAAGTGATCTAAGAATTATTAAAAAGAGAAAAGAAGGCTGTAATGAATGGAAAGTAGACCAGTGGAAATTTTGTGCTTGAGAGAAATACCTAAAAATCTGATTTCTGAGTGCTACGGGCTGATTCGGTTTTGTTTGTTTACAGCAGTGGTTCTCAAAGTGTGGTGCTGGGGCCCTTGGAAGATCCCCAAGAACCTTTCAGGAAGTCAATGAGGTCAAAATGCTTCTCATAAGAAGAAGAAGGTATTTTCCCTTTTCAGTCTCTTTCTCTCTTTCACTCTCTCACAAGAGTGCGGTAGAATTTTCCAGAGGGTCCAGGACATGCGATGACACCACTGCTCTGATGATCAATGGAAGGTGTGCTCGTGTGTTCTCATGCTTTAAATTTTTCTTACTGTTAGCTTCTAATATAATCAATTCCAGTAGGCATTACTCATGTGAACAAAAGCTCTTTGGGGCCCTCAATAATTTTTAAATATAAAGGTGTCCTGAGACCCAAAAGTTTGAACATTTTTGAAAAGGGGGATCTGAACTTCCGATGGACACACAAACATATGTTTTGAAAGAGCTTCCAAAATGATATTCTATGCTAGGCTTGAGCCAAAGCCCACGCAACAAACGGAAACAGGCTGCAGTACCCGTTCAAATGAGGAAGAGGGCATGGTATCTTCTGGTGGATTACCCTGTGCTGCAGAATGGTCTACACTGGCCAGACAGCCTAGTTCACAGAGTGGGCAACAGGAATGCAGGGGTCCCCTCCTCTTTTGGGGCTAGCAGAGCTGCCCTCTCGAACTTATATTCTGCCTTCCTCATTCACTGTCCTCTCTCCACTTGAGTGTCATGCTTGGTAACAGAAAGACACACAATTCACACCAAAAACTCAGTAAAAAAAAAAAAAAAACAAACTTCTGGAATTCAGATAAAAGAAGATGGAGAAATTATGACTGTTCCTCAAAATCATATTTTGCTGCCCTCTCTACAGTATTAAAGGAAAGATCCAATGTAGACCAAAATTCTTTCTGCCCCAACAGCTTGGTAGGAAAAACTGTTTCCCTGATGAAACTTCCAAGTAAAGAGAAATGACTTCCTGAATTGCATGGGATAATTATCTAATGTTACATCTAATGTAAGAGTGAATCTTACATCACAAGAGAAGGGTTAGGAATAAGATTTCTTGGTGGGGCTTTTCTGAATAAATGAAGAAACTTTACAGATCTTCAAAATTCTAAGCAGAGCACTGAGCATTTTCACACAGAACTAGGTAAGAAAAAACAACTTGTCTGTCTCTGAACTCTCAAGGTACCTCACCTACACCTTTCAGAATACAACATATAAATTTATAAGCCTTAAAATACGTATAGCTTAGTTTCCCCACTAGAGTACCAACACCTTGAAGACAGAAATCTTAGTAGTTTTCTCCTTGGCCCCCAGCAGTCCTTTATACACATAGTAGGTTTTCAATGTGATAAATGAATAGAAAACTATCATTCACACGCACAACCATTTAAAAGAACATGAATGGCTCATCACCCCTTTCTCCTCTCATTTTATAAATACCCCCAATAAATGGTAATATGTTGCCACTTACGGTTGTATCTGATAATGACATTGCAGAAAAAGACATGTTCGGGTCAAACCGGCTGGATTTGAGAAGACTCATGAAGTCTGTGTCGCTATTTCCATAGTTTGGCAAGTTCGGCTTAAGAACACTCTCTACACGATTAGCCTTTTCCAGATCATCACTGTTCTTCAGTTTAGAAAATTCAGAAAATTTGGTATCTGGCAAGTGTAGGTTGCTTCGTGAACCCAGGTCTTCTTTGGTTTCCTCTTTGGGCAGGTATTTCTCCATGTAGCTTGCGCTTTTCAAACCCGAAGGAGATGCATTTGTCGAGTTGAAGTTGAAGACCTTTACGTTGCTGGGTGGAAGGTTTGGCTGCTCTTTGTCTGCACCGCAGGGCGGGGCACCCTCAGCCCTGGGCGGTAACGCCGAAGCCCGAGAAAGAGAAGTGTTCTGAGGAGTGCTGAAAGATGTGGTCATGGTGCTGACTGATGTCACAGAGGGAGAAAAGATTTTGTCTTGTGGTAAAGAAGGCAGCATGCTGGAAAAGAGTGCACTTTTTTCTAGCCTGGATCTCTTGACTCCGCCACTGGGGACATCTTTGTTCTCTTTGTCATTTGTCTCCGCAACCGTCGAAGGTTCATCTTTCCCATTAGTGTGAGTGTACGAGGACTTGAAGAGGATACTCTGCTCGGTGGATGTGCGTTTGGGCCTCAGGTTGGATTTTGTGTAAAGGTTCTGCATCAGATGTAAAGCTGGTGACATTTCTGGCTGGCTTTCCTTCTTCTTCCCCAAACCAAAGGTAAACACATTGGGATCTAACACCTTTTCTAAATTGTCCTCATGAATCGGAGGCATGACAAAGGGAGGGGCAGGCGAGTTGGGCACCCTGGCCTTCTTTTTCTTCTGAGGCACACAGACGGTGCTGTCCATCTTTTTGATAATTTCGGTGAATTTTTCCATATCCGAAGAAGAATCAAATACACTGTCATCACTACCCGCAGAAATGTTCAAAAGACTGGCAGGGCTGGCCTGGCCATTCACAACATTTTGATCTGGCCTTTGAGGAGTTTCCAAATGATCTCTGCTGCCAGGGTCAGCCTTCAGGGGTTTTCTATCGCCCTGACTTCGAGCCCATATAGGCAGAGCTTTCTCAGATTCTGGTGGCATGACTTGTGGGCCAGATTTTGTTGCATGTTCCTCTTCGCAATGAATGTGCTTTGGTGAGGGGCTCTCACTGCCCAGCCCTTCCTCTTTCTGGGGAGCACAGCTTGCAACAGAAACCACTTCAAGGTCATGGTTGTGACAGCTTGGCAACTGTGCTTCCCTAACTTCAGAGCTCTCAGAGATGACCTGGGAGCCCACATCTTGGGTGCTCTCCATGGGGTGCACAAAGGACCGGACCTGGACCAGGACCTTGGATGGATGCTCCATTCCCACAGCTTCTGGGCTGTGCTCTGTGGACAGAGGAGGAGGGCTCGCTGCTCCTCCTTCTCTTCCTCCTGTGGGTTTGGAGGGCGGTCCTTTCTCCTCATTCTTATGTGACACAGGCAGAACACATTCATGATGGTTTTCTGACACTTCTAGATCAGTGCATGGAACATTGCTTCCGGGAGCTTGAACACGTGTGTCTTTGGGTGAGGGCTGTGAGAGAAAAGGCCCGTTAGGTGACTCAGATGGGGGCTGTGAGTCAGAAAATGTATCCTGTGGCTTTGGTCTGGCTGTTGGAGGGGAATCTTTGGTATCAAGAATGGCGGGAACAGCCTGTGCTGGATCAGTCATATTTTCGAGTGCAAGTCTTTTGCTGTCTGCAGCCTTTGAGTCATCCTCTCCTAAGGGCTTGTGGTCCACAGTAATCAGAGCAGTGACCACTGCTTTGGAAGGGCAGCCAGCATCTGTTTGCACTTCTGCTCTATCACCCTGGTTAAGCGGAGAACCAAGAGCTGGACCCTCGGTAGGCTCAGCCTCCATCCCTCCTGCACTGGGGCTCCCGGCTGCTGGCGGGATCTCCTCCTCCGTAACTTTGGATTCTGGCGAGGTTTCCTTCACCAGCATACCATTCTGGTGACTATCTGGCATTACTTTCTTTTCAGATTGCTCCATCTCTTTGGCTTTTTTGGTTAAATTCAGCTTCGCCCTCCCGACAAAGTTTTTATTACAGGTAGGAGTGTTCCTTGTGCCTCGAATGTCAGCATGTCTTGGGCTACTGTTGGCCCGTTTGTTTTCAAATAAGGAGATTTTGTTGGCAGTGTTTCCTTTATGAACTGGCTGGCTAAATGGATTATGCTCATTTCCCAAACTGTCAGGATTCTTAGGAGTTTTAAGATTTAGTTCCACATGTTTGGGCTTGGCCGGGCTGCAAAAATAAAGCAGTAAGATAAAGTTATTGACCTAGTTTTAAAAAGTGAACATACCAATTTATTATAAAACATTTATTATTATGAAAAGCCAACATCTTTCTGGTAAGTAACATTTGTTTTTTTGAGACTATTTTAAAACAATCCTAAATACACTATCAACTATTTTTAGTGGATGCTTTGCTTCTGTATGATAGATGAGAAAATTTTATAGCTAAGAAAGTCAAGAGGTGGGAGGTTAGCAAGTTTATCAAGTATCTAATTTTTATCCCCTTCATCTTCCTTCATATACCTTTACTCTGATTATATAAGTGTGTTCACTACAGAACATTTGGAAAATATAAAAATGAAAAATCACTCATACTCCTACCACTCAAACAATCTCCCTGTTAACATTTTAGTATAATTTAGTTTTCGTGTATACATACTAAAATATTTTTAACAGAATTGGAATTATTCTGTTCATAGAGTTTCAGGTCTTGTCTTTAAAAAAAAAAAGATTACTTAATCTTATATTTCACATTTTTCATTTTCAAGTTACTAAAAAATTTGAAGTTTTTCATAATGTCTGCATAAAAGTTTCATCATATGGATGTACCATAATTTACTTATCAGTTACTCAATTGGTAGTTTTGTCACCTTTTTGGAGGCAAAGGGAGTCTCCCCTTACTCTAGAGAGAAACTATAATGTTTCTTGGTTATTACCCCTTAGTGGAAATCATAAATCTTTGAAGGTATACACTGTTCTCTTTCTGAGAACAAAATGTTCTCTCTATGACATTCACCAGCCCTGGTCCTGGCTCTTAAATTGATTATCTATGTGAGCTTGGTCAAGTTAACTCACTGGACTCGCTACCTTCTCTACCTGGAAAAAACAAACAAACTAGATAGTTTAGAACTGAGCTGGTCCTCTCCCCACCCCTACCTTCCCCAAGGAATGGCTGAAGGGATTCTTGGGGTTCTCTTCAACAGTTACAGTGCGGACAATAGAGCTGGAGGGCCAGAGCTGGGGCCAGCCTCGCTCCTTTCAACCAGAAGCACTTCTACTTATCTGTTTCATATATCACTTTTATATAAGTTTTCCTAGAAGAATGGGCTCCAAAGCTAAACACAAAAAAATGTGTGAACCATAGGCCTAGGGGTTTCTGAAATGAAGAGATAATAACCACTAACAATCACGGATTGACACACACTTGACAAACACTCTGCTTGCCTAATGTACTATTTTATACATTCTCTTTTAAGAGGAGGAAGTTGAAGCCTAGAAAAGGCAGGTAATGTGCCAGAAGCCATATGCCCAGTGAGTGACAGGGCGAGGGTTTGAAACCAGGCATTCTGGTCTCAGAGGCAATGCTCCTGACCACTCCACGCTCCTGCACCCCCAGACCTCAGTGGCCAAATCTGGTTCTTTCCAGCTTTACCTATTCAAGAAGTCAATGAATTAGCATGAGATCTGAAGCAATCATACTTTGGAGGCCACCTTGATAATGAAAAGTAGAGACACACAGAAATCTCATGCTGCCTCCACAAGGATTCATTGACCTTCAAGAAAGAGGAAACTTTTGAAGGAACAGGCAATATGACTTTGGGTGAGACACCTTATCCTTCTGGATAAAATGAGAAGACTGAAAAGATTTGAGAAGTCCTTCCCAAATATGGCATTAGGAATTTAGATTTTTATTTTTAGGAATTTGATTTAAATACTAAATTTGATATATTCTCATGAATTTCTCTTGGGCGTTGCTTTCCCCAGTATCTCTGTAAGATAGCTAGGCTCCCACATGGTGAGTGCACAGCTTAAATTTAAAAGGAAAATTAACTTACACACACTACCTTGAAGATTAAATTCCAAAACCAGTGGAGTAGAAATGGAGAGCTTACAAACGCCATCAGCTAATGAAGGATGTTCACATACCAGTACATAAACATTTTAAAAATTCTCACTAATCAGCTCAAGGAACAGTCAAACATCAAAGCATATCTTACTATGTAAATGGAAAACACCAAAGGTTAGCCAACAAGCTACCTTAAGGACAGGAAACACATCTGCACATTAAAGATTTACACCAAGATCAAAATATATTTTACTACCAAACTTTCTGTGTTATTAAGTTCTGCGACTAAGAGTCACTACAATTAACCTAGCGCAAACTGATTAAAAGGAAGGCTTCTATAATTCATGTTTAATGCCTTTATTATAATGTGAGCGGGGAAAATAATCTGGTGTCTTAAAAAGCCATGGCTAGGAGAGGAAAATTTTCCTTATTCTAAACATAACCATTGTTAAGAATCTCAACATTCAATACTTGGTACAGAATTGAAGATGTAATTTTTCTAACAGGATCAAGAAACTTGCTGTATAGTCCTTTTTCAGGAAATATAAAATAATTTTAACTAAAACATCAGACACAAATTGTTTTTAAAAATAATCTGAATAACATTTCTTCTTGAAATACAATCAGAGGAAAAAACTGGGGGAAAAAAATCCATTAAACAGAAAAAAACGAGAAGGAATTAATTTCCCATTTCAATAGTTTGCTAATTCACCAAGCATGAGGCCCTGTGGAAAACACAAGCCAAATGCCTTGCAAAGGGAAAATTTTAGGTAGAAAATAATTGGCACAGAGAAGACGTTTGATTTAGTGCTTGTACTGAAAACAGCACATGAAGAGTTCATTATAAGAACGTTTCCCAGGTTTGTTTACCCTACTCCTTGTAACATTTCTGGTTTTTCCACTGGCCTTCTGCAATTGGAAGGCAGGTAAGGCGTCCTTACACAGCTCCATAGCAACATTTCTCTAAGCTCACACTTAGGAGGTCTGAATATTCAGTCACACTGGGCCTTCTACAAATAATGGGCATCATTTACTCCGGGTTACTTCTCTGACACAGCCGTTACAGAATAAATAGCTGGCTTTATCAAAGGTCTCCAGGTTGGCAACTGGGGAGGTGGCACACATTACTCATTAAGTAGGTTTTCCCTCAAGTGTTTACCAGACTGCCTACTCTAAAGCTTACTTACTCAAGAATTCAAATAGAATGAAACCATTCGGTTTAAGAATCAAAATGCTGTGAAAATACCAGCTCTTTTAATAAATGTGCAAATGTGGGAAAAACTTGCGCAGTTTAGATACTCATTTTTCACAGGCGCTAGCTGGGAGGTGGGGAAGTGAGAGTGTGGGAAGGGGAGAGGATCTTGAGTTTTATAGCCAACCCTCCCTACCCCATCCACCTATACAAACCTCAGCCTCAAGGTGCAAGCCCATCTCCAAAAAGCCAATGGTGATTTCTGCTTTGCACTTCCCCAGACTTTACAGCAGATAACCCACTCAGCAGTTCCCTCAGCCACCACCTCATGGTTATTACCTGCATCTTGCGTGCCAGAGTGGGCCATAAACTTCTCAAGAGCAATATACTGAGTCATAGTCTGACTTTTGCCTCATAGTTCCTGGCACAATACCATGCACAGAAGGCACTCAATAAATATTTGGGGGGAAAAAAGAATCAATGAACTTAATAGCAGGTAGTCAGTCTGTTGTTCAGCTTGATCCTTCCAATGTGTCCTTTGATTTAACAAAGTCCCCCAGTAAGAACACTATTCTTTCTTCATTTCAATAACTAAGAATTACTCTTCAACCTGGGGGCAAAAATGCCACTAACCCCCTGAACAGTCTAAGGAGGGGAATTAGAAATTTTACGTTGCACTAAATTCCAGAAAAAGTTCTATGAATTTTCTTAAAACCCACACATGTCAAAGCTACTACTGCGTCATAATGAACGTAAGAGTTTTTGCTTCATGTTTCCAGATCCACTGCATAGGTGTTTTGTTTTGTTTTTAAAGATTTTATTTATTTGCCAGAGAGAGACACAGCGAGAGAGGGAGCACAAGCAGGGGGAGTGGGAGAGGGGGAAGCAGGCTTCCCGCGGAGCAGGGAGCCCGATGCGGGGCTCGATCCCAGGATCCCGGGATCGTGACCTGAGCCGAAGGCAGACGCTTAACGACGGAACCACCCAGGCGCCCCCACTGCATAGGTGTTTTAAGAATGCCCTATCCAGGAATGCTGGTGTACATTTTGAATAAAGGATTAGCTCACGTCAGGCCAAGCGGTCGTCTTTCAATTGTTGATGTAAACACTGAGCCTCAAGAGATTTTTACATTCATTCAACTTAAACATTCTATCAGCACAGTAATTAACAACCCGGCTAGGCTCCCGAAGTGTCGTCTTCTTAAACTGTGTTAACTGGCCCTTCACTATCTCCGTTTCAACAGAGGGGAAAACTCGGCGCACAGATAGATCTGCCACAAACGCAAAGACCCCGGAGCCTCCCAGAAACACCACCCAGAACGTCCGCCGACACCCACAGCTCCACCAGGCCCCGGTCCGCGGCTACTTACAGGGTCACTTTAGTGGTCACTGTCGACCTGCCCGCCCCGAAATGGTGCCTGGGCTTCAAGCCGTCCGCGTCAGAACCACCGGCCGATCTGCCCAGCTCTTTGCTTCGACTACCTTCTCCCCGGCTGTCGAAGTGGTTGGGGAACAGGCCCCTCTTGTGCTCGGGCTTGATCTCTGGCAGCAGCGAGCTGCTCTTGACGGTGAGCTCGCGGGGGACTACCCGGGCCGCCTCCTCCCCGTCGTCCCCCGCGGCGCCCTTGGCGGTGGGATCGGGCGCTGGCGCCCTCTTTGGGGGGGACTCCTTGGCGGGAGCCCGAGGGCCGTGGGCAGGCGAGGTGGGCGCGGCCTCGGGGACGCGGCTCTTGCCCCTCCTCTTGGTGGGGGACGAGGCCGGCGGCGTCTGTTTGCCCCGGTCGGACTCCCCGCGGAGCGGCCCCTTGGAACCGGGGCTGGACTTGGACTCCGCGCCCGCAGCGGAGACAACGCCCTCGTCGGGGGCAGCCCGCGGAGATTTCACTTTCTTTTCCGCGGAGCCGTTCTCCGTGGCCGCGTTTGGCGCCACCTCGTAGTCGAACACCGCGTCGTCGCCGCCCGCTCTCTCGGGTAGCGCCGTGTCCGCCCCGGGGGAGTCGGTGGATTTCTGCGACCTTCTCCGCCGGCCCGACCTGCGGCCGCCCGACCTCTTCTCCATATCGTCAGAATCGCCGCAGTCTTCTGCGCCTGGAGTAATCGCGCCCGGCTCGTCCACCTGTGCCACCTCAGTCTTGCTCAAGTAGATGTCCAAAGTGAACACGGTGGCGGGGTGGGCGCGCTCGCCGGGCAGGCCCTGCAGCCCTCGGGGCCCGGCTTTGCCGTCTGCCTGCGCCGAGTCGGAACAAGTCCCCTCGCCCTCTGCCCGAGGGTCACCTGGCGGAGCGGACGCGTCCTCGGGGGGCCGGAGGCACGCGTCTTGGGGCTCCAGAGAGCCTGCCCCGGCACACACACGGGGGGCTCTGTCAGCGGCCTCGCCTCGCCCCCCCGCGGGCCGCTCCCCGGTGGGCGACCCCGGCACACCCCTCGCACCCCGAGCTGTCTCCGGCTCGCAGCCGGCGCGGGGGCAAGCGTCCTCCTGCGGACTGCCGGCCGGCGTCTCTGCGTTCCCTTGCCTGGAGGAATTCTCAAGTGGGGAATGCAGCTGCTTGGCAGCGGTGGTGGCACCTGGGAAAGACTCTCCCTCTGCCTCCAGAGGTTCTAATTGGAGTGAATCACTCTCCTGGCGCTGCTGCCCAGCCGCCGCGCGGCCGCTCGTGCAAGGTGACAGCTCGGCGTCGGGGGGCGCTACCCGCACGCGGGTCTCGGCGTGCTCCTCCGACTCCCGGGGCTGCTGCTGCGGGGAACCCTGCTCGCACGTGTCTTTCTGCTTTGGTTGGCTGCCCTGGGCTTTACTCTTATTCTCTCTTTCCGGGAGTCTGGAAGAGGTTACATCTTTGCAAGGCACTGATTTGGCACTGGAGCTGGTGGGACTCTCTAACCCGTTTCTGCTGGTCCTTCTCCTTCCAGCCGTGAACAGATTGCCAAGTTTCCCCAAAACTGGCTTCCTTTTGTTTTCTTCAGGTGGTTGTGCTCTGGACTGGAAAACAAAAGGGGTTGGGGGAGAGAGAAACTATGAGAATCTGGTTTTCCCCCTCTTCAGTAGTAAGTACATTGCAGAACTACAAGCCCAAATGGTAAGAAACCAGTCTAACTGAAAAGTAGAGAGTTGTGTTTTTGTTACATTTATTCCAACAAAATAAATTCAGATTTTCAAATTTTTCTTAAGCCGGATCTATGTTAGGTGCTACTTGGAATAACAGTTCCTTTAACTATAATTCTTGTGTTTTAAAGGAGAATTCGGAAGGTCCAAATAATCATATATACAAAATAAACAATTCCCAGGTCTCTCTAGCTTTTGCTTTTTCCTTCTTCCTCAATAAAGATGCAATTTCAAAACAGCCATGCGTGACTACAGGGCAGCAATAAACACACTAAAGTATCTTAAAGATTTTATTTATTAAAGAGAGAGAGAGGGCAAGAGCCGGGGTTGGGGAGGGGTGGGGGGAGAAGGGCAGAGGGAGAGGGACAAGCAGACTCTCCGCTGAGCAGGGAGCCCCCACGCTGGGCTGACCCCAGGCACGACGGCAGCTCCTGACCTGGGCCGAAGTCAGACGCTCAACCGACTGAGCCACCCAGGCGCCCCTAAAGTATCTTAAAGGAGAGGGGTTTTTGTTTTGAAACACCGCCCTTTCTTTTTGTAAGAAGAAAGGAAAATGAGTAAAAAGTTCTAGCACTCTCCTCTAGAACAGAAAGAAGCCACCTGGGTGCAACACAACTGCAAATGAAAACTCTTTAGAAAACCAGGATTCGAGCACCTGGGTCGGCGGGTAGCCACACCAGTGGTTCCTGGCGGGCCCGGCCCGCACTCCTCCAATGGGAGAAGCACGCGGGCATTCAAACGCCCGCTGGCCCCCCCAAAGCGATGCGGCCGCTCTGGAGCTCACCGGAGAGGCCTTTCCCCCGCGGGGAGCTCCTAGGAGTGCAAATACGGGGAGTACGTGGAGGAAGGAGGGCGAAGGTGTTGGGCGACCACGTTCGCATACCCGCCCCTCCGGCCCGGGGGGGGGGGGCGGTGGGGGGCGCCGAGGGATCGGAGCGCAGCTGGCTCTGCCCACGCCGACCTCAGCCGGAGGCCCGTCCCTCACCGCCCCGCAGGGCTTCAGGCGCGAGCCCGGGAAGCCGACCCACCCGTGGGAAGGGGTCTGGGCCGCCCGCGTCGTTCCGCACGGATTCGGGGACGGGGAAAAACGTGCACCTCCTACATAGCCTGGAGCCAAACGGCGGGCACCTGGTGCCGGCGCCGGACGCGGAGGCCGCTCTGAACTTATCAATAAAAGCAAACCTGCCAATGGGCGCTGCGGCGGCCGGGGTTTGCCTGGGGAGGGGGTAGGTGAGGGCCCGGGGCAGGCAGGAAGAGGAGGAGGCCATCCTAGGAAAGGGTAGGAGCTTCGGCAGCTAGCCCAGCCTTGGCTCCTAAAGGAAGGCCGCGTGCTCAGCGTAACGAACCCACTGAAACCAGGACCACACGTGTGGCTACAAGAACCCAAGAATTACCTCTTCCACTTAAAACCTGGGAGCTAGCTTGAGCCCCACCTTTCCTGGAAGGCGAACATTCAGGGCAGTTTTTACAATATTGACTGTTTACAGAGAGATTTCTGAATCACTGTTCAAAGCAGCTCCATTTCCTTTGAGTTAAATGCCGCCAGTGGACTTTGGAAGTGGTGGGAAATACGAAAGACTGTAAGATAAACCTTGGAAATAAACATGGTCAACAAGCATTTATTGAGACAGCTCGGGCAGGCAGTGTAACATCATGTAATTCTGCGACAGCCTAGCTCCAACGCAGAGACAAAGGGGGGGTAGGACAATAAAGTCAGGATCAAACCCAAGTCCTCAGCTTCCAACACGTGCTCCTTCAGCTCCACCATGGCGACTCCTTTCAGAGGACGGGGAGGTGCAGAGGGCACCCTTGAGACAGAGTCAGCCCAGAGGAAGAGGTTGTATGCAGGCCATACACCCCCAGAATCGGCTCTGAGGAAGTGCTCATGAACCACATTTACTGACAAGCCCTGAGTGATTCTTTTTGTTTGAGAAGCACCTGGCGGGAGCTTTGGAACTAGCTAGCTGCTGCATGAGGAGATGGGCCCCTGCTGCAGCCACTGGGAGCTTTTGTGACTGAACTGATACACTTCTAAACTCTAATCAGATTTTGATTAATAATTCAATCCTACAATGGTTATATAAATAATATAGGAAGAATTCACTGTGTGATTTAAGAAGAAAAGTAAACATTCCAACTACCTAAGGAATATATTTGGATTCTTACTCTAAGTCAAAGGTATTACATGATTTTTAAACATAGTTTATGCTTACTGAGCCCTTCTTAGGCGCTAGACATTTGCAAATTTACATGGAATCCCATCTAATCATCCTAACAGCCCTTGAGGTAGGTACTCTTCTGATGCCCATTTGCCAAGGTTTATTATCCCTGTCCAAGGTTCCACAGCTGGTAGTCTTTCTTTTTTTTAAGATTTTTAAAAATTTTTATTTATTTGAGAGAGAGAGAGAACGAGTGGGGAGGAGAGGGAGAAGCAGACTCACCACTGAGCAGGGAGCCCGATGAGGGGTTCTATCCCAGGACTCTGGGATCATGACCTGAGCCACCCAGGCACCCCACCAGTAGTCTTTCTAACAATGGAGATGGAGCACTTTGTCTCCACTGCGTGGACAGGCCTTCAAACATATTCTAAAGAAGTACCCAGGCAGAAAGGGTTGAGACTGTTGGCTCAATTTTAGCCCATGTCAAAGGAAAACCATTAAGTGTATTGTATTACTCTGTCCAGCCAATCATGCTGCAATCCATTTTTCCCATGCGGTTGAAAGGTGCCTGATCAGCAGTCCTATCTGCCTCAGTGCAGGCATTTTTTTTTTTTTCATTTTTGGCTATAGATGCTTTTTACAAAACCGGTTGCTCTTTGTAATTCGGCCTCATCAACTACTTGACTCCTCCTGCCCTCAGAAGCGCAGCCAGTTTATCACCTGCCAGGCTGCTGTTTTGTGTATTGAACTTCTTAGAATTGTAGAGCTTTGTCTGTTTATACATGAATGTTCACAGCAGTTGCATTCGTAATTGTCAAAAACCGGAAACAGCTTAAATGCCCATCAATGGTGAATGGTGAAACAAATTTGGTACATCCATACAACAGAATACTACTCAGTAAAAAGGGCCAAACATCTGAAGCATGTAATGACACGGATAAATCTTAAAAATGTTATGCTAAGTGGGGCGCCTGGGTGGCTCAGTCATTAAGCATCTGCCTTCGGCTCAGGTCATGATCCCAGGTCCTGGGATCGAGTCCCACATCGGGCTCCCTGCTCGGCGGGAAGCCTGCTTCTCCCTCTCCCACTTCCCCTGCTTGTGTTCCTGCTCTCGCTGTCTCTCTCTCTGTCAAATAAATAAATAAAATCTTTAAAAAAAAAAAATGTTATGCTAAGTGAAAGAAACCAGACTCAAAAGGTTACATACTGTATGGTTCCATTGATATGCTATTCTAGACGATGCAAATCTAATATATAATCATAGAAAGTAGATCAGTGGTTGCCTGAGGGTAGGGAGGGGGTGGACGGGTGCAGTGTGACTGGAAAGAGGCACAAGGGAACTTGGGGGGTAAAGGTAATGTTCTATATCTTAATTGTGGTGATAGTTCACACATGTACATATCTTTCAAAACTCATCAAACTGTATACTTCACATTGGTACAATTTTTATATATAAGTTATATCTTAATAAAGTTGGTTTAAAAATAAAACTTTCCCGTGAGAAACAATCCATCTGGCTCAGGTGCCCATTTCAGAGTTCTTAGTTAATGGGAGCCTCGGGTCATTTTAAGAGCTAGGTCCTCATTTACAGGGGAATGCAGCCTTCCCCCAGGAGACAGGTCCCTGGGCGTCTCCAGCATATCTCTATGCAAGGCACTCTGAGCAGAGTTCATCCGAAGTAAAGTTCACAGTCATGTCTTTGAGAAACACCCCTTCTTAAAACAGGACATGTATTTCTATTCAGCCAGGGATTTTTCTTTCCAGTGTTCATGGAGGAAGAATGAGCATGGCAGATGGACAATGAAAAACTAAATGGCCTGCAAGTACAGAGTAGGGACCTTCTTAAGTAGGAGCCTTTGCACCTGGAGTGCTAAAGGTAGGATGGGGCTCAGCACCTACTCGCTCAACCTCCACCGCAATCTGTCAGGAAGGGGAGTGTTTTGCTAAGAGGCCATGAGGGCCAATCAGCCTTCTTCCTGCTCTCCTAGGCTCCACCCCAGGCTCTCCTCCCTGCTGGGTCAGGGTCCTGAGTGTTCTCGGGCTGGGTGTTCACAGACTACAGCAGAGCCCTGCAACCCAAGACCCCCGCCTTTGCAGTTAGCTCTTTCCCGTGTACTCTCTGCCCGCCTTATTTAAGGCAGCCGGCCTACCTCACTGTGCAGAACTTGCACTTGGAATCCTCGGTCACTCCCGCCCAATGGGGAGGAGTGCAGTCCACAACAGCTCTACTTCAGAGATGGCCCATGGGTCGTGTGCTAGGGCTTGTTTTAGAGTGCTCTTGTTGGTTAATATGAAATGTGGCTCGTTAGGGGCGTGTGTAAGCATCGAGGCGAGCCCATACTCCAGCGGAGAGCGGAGGCCCCCCCAGCACTGGCTGCAGAGCTCTCGTGATTCCCGACCTTCTGCAGCAGCGCCTGCGATCCGCAGCGGCCACTGAGTAAAAGTCGCTTTGTACTGTTAGTGTAATTTCAGAGATCTCGACAATCCTCTCAACTCGGGGGGAGCAAAAGGCCAGGAAATACAGGATTAATTGTTAATATACTACAAATTGCTAACATACGAAAATGTCTGGACATATAAGCAAAATAGTGTGCTTAACTCCCCCACGGTCCCCCTCGCTCACCCCCAACCTCCTGATTGCCTATTGGAGTCGTTGCTTTAAATTTAGAAGTACTTTACCTGAAATCAGATTTGGAGGTTGAACAAAAATATGTTGAG